CATCTGAAAGAACTACCGTATTTTACCGTGTATAAGACGACTTTCTAAACCATGCAAATCTTCTCCAAAGTCGGGGGTCGTCTTATATGTCCAGTTGTCTTATACGCTGGAAAATACGGTACTTATACTTAGGGATTCTGGTCCAGACATCAGTCCTAAAGGTAAATGCACTAGCAACACCATAATGGTGGGAGAGAAGCAGAACTAAAGCTTGGCCCCATATAACCCTTAACACATATGAATATGGAATTCACTTGTTGTTAGATTATATTGCATTTTCAGGAATACACTCTTCTGAAAAGATCAGATATACCAACTAGATTATAATCTGTATTCTAATAGAACTCTCTTTTCAACTGCTACGAGGGCTCAGAAATGAATAAGGGTCGTCATTAAAACTGGAATGGGAATTCCAACCCATAAGAAAAATTGAAAAGTTGTGAGGAAAAAAAAATCCCAAAAACGATAGTAGCAATCCATTTCCATATCATTACACCCGAAACTGCATAGACAAGTTCACATAATTACCAGGATAGCATTCAGGCTTGACATAGGAGCCTCTTTATTTTTTAATACAGTTTGTGCAGAATATGGTTGCCTGTTGTTATGCCACTGTCATTTCCTTGATGTATTTGTGCATAATATGTAAAAATCAAGCTGGACTTTGATCACATTGCCGTCTTGATTTTTTTGACATTGCTGGCAATGGAACGTTATTTTTTTTATTATAAATTACATTCTATTTTCTATTTTGTAAGTACACTTGTGGATACAACATTGACAATAGTAATAATATGATGCCCTCACCTGAAGATTATTTGCTTCCTGTTTTAGGCAGTAGTCTCTAGAAAGTGATCTCTGGTTTATTAAAGCTTTATCATTTTGAGTATACGTTTAATGTATACATTTGCACTGAGTGTGTGCAATATAGATGGTACATGGCAAGAAAAAAAAATAAACCTAAGAAAGGAGAATAAAATGCATAATGTAGAAAATAAGAACTGGATTGTCTTTCCTGTGAGACCTGTTGGCTTCAGGTTATTGTTTAACTACACATAAGTAGGTCAGGTAGTGAAAAGGGAGATAAAATGGAGGAAAAATAAGCTGATTTGGTTAGGGACAAGACAAAGTTTTTGCTCAGAAACACACAGATACACACTTTGCAATATATATGGTATGTGCAAGCTTTCGTCAGGGCAAGGCAGGTGAGACAAGGAAGGAAAAGGAAATAGCAAGGGTGCTTAGAGCTAACAGGGCTGGGTAACCCCTTCCTCCCTTGTGGTAAAGGCTACTCATCAGCAAGAGGAAGGAGAGACAAGGCAAGAGTCTTTGTGCCAAAAATTCTGGATTGTGAGTTGGCAGTTTAGCAAATGAGGAGGGTGAGAAGCTAGAAGTTCCACCTGTTACAAATTGCCTGTAGATTTGCTGTTGTGGTTTAGAGAGCTACCAGAATTAGACTAGAGGTTTAATTCTGGAGAGAGTCTGAAAAAGAGTGAGAGAAGACCTGTCAGGTGGGACTTGACATTATACAAATGACAGGTAATGCTCAACCTACAATCACAATTGGACTGGAGCTTCCATCACTAAGCAAGGTGGTTGTTAAATGAATCATCATGTAACTATGTCCAATTTTTCATTCCCCCCCCCTTAGTCATTAAACGAGCCACATAGTTGGTAAACAAATCCAGCTTCCCCCTCTGACTTTGCTTGTCAGAAGCTGGCTGGGAAGTTCACAAATGGCAATCACATGATCCGGGGACACTGCAGTCATTGTAAATACATGCAGTGACTGAGACAGTGCCGCAATGATCATAAGTGCAAGGACCCACCATAAGTCAGTTTTTTTCAGCAGCCCTGTAACTTTGAATGGTTGCTAAATCAATAGTTGTAAATTGCACAGTGAGAGTATTTGCAAGGGAGGAGGGAGAATTGATTTGCTTCAGAAATGTACTGCACTTTTAGGTAGATTGTTCAGTTGGTTGTGTAGGAATTTGCCCCCTGGAAAATTTATCCCAACTGAATTCAATTTTGTTTAGATGTTTGAAGTTATAATCTACCGGTACTTAACATTTACCTCTGAAGGTAGGATATGTTTTCTTATTGGATTCCCCTGAAGAAAATGAATCACCTCTTAGAACCTCCTTGATAGTGGAAAGAATGGGTGGAAATACATTGTCTAAATCAGTGGTTCTCAACCTGTGGGTCGGGACCCCATTTGGGGTGGAACGACCATTTCACGGGGGTCGCCAAACAACGCAGTCCGCCATTTTTTCCCCCTTTTCCTTAGCTGTGCTATTCCCTTTTATTCTATTGGCTTTTGAAAGCCAATAGAATAGACTCTCTTGAATAGAGTCTAATTCTATTGGCTTCAAAAGCCAATAGGAATTGTCCAGGCTGTCTCTGCCCTGCTGAGCGCACCAAAAATCCCATTCTGCAAATGGTGCTGCACCAGTTGAGTAGTCCTCGACTTACAACCCTCGACTTATGACCTGTTGGGGGTCACGGCATTAAAAAGGTTGAGAACCACTGGTCTAAATGCTGAGGAAAAAAGCCTGTTTGAAGATTCTTTGTGGGACATCAGCATGTGAACTCGGGATTGGTCTTTGTCTTACCACAGTGGCTATATAAATCCATAAAAGGCTCCACTGGGATCACTCATCTCTTTCTCCCCTACTGGCTGCTGCAGGGGTAGGGGTAGGCAACCTTGGCTCTTTTAGGACTCGTGGACTTCAACTCCCAGAATTCCTGAGCCAGCCATGGGAGTTGAAGTCCACGAGTCATAAAAGAGCCAAGGTTGCCTACCTCTGAGCTAGGGGGAGGCAAAAAATGGACTCCCACCCCCCATACAGTACTGAATTATTATGGGTAGAAGTGAATGTTATTACTCTTAAAAATCGACATGGTAACATAGATGTGAAATATGTTTTTACAGTAAAAAAAATTCCCTGAAGAGAAGTAACTTTTGCACAGTTGAGCAAGAACTGGAGAATGGTTAAACAACAGAAAAGTACGAACAAGGGTTTTGGTAAAAGGATTTATGGAGCTAATTCTACAGAACTGAGGTATGCTTGGGAAATGTGCCATTCTCTAGGACACTAACACTTTGAGGAATAGAATAGAATAGAGCTGGAAGGGAGGTACAGAGTTTTTTAAAACTAGAAGATAAAACTTTTCAGCATCAGAGGAGAAGGATAAACCAGTGGATTATTATTCTATACCAGACACTATCAAGTAAAAAGTAGATATTGGAAACCACATCATGATACAAAAGTTTTTCTGGAGTAAAGTCCATTCCTGCATTTGGGGAAGAAAGGATTGGTAATGGATCAAAGTTTGTTTTGTTTTCGCTACTCAAATAACAGTAGATAAAATTTGTAGAGAGGGGAGAGAAAGGAATTGCAGAAAAAAAAATTAAAAACCTTGTCTTGGTTATGGTTATGTCCCTGTCCTTTCCGGACACATGCTGCTGCCCAGGACCTATTGGCTATTTGGGAGGGAGGTTATGGTGCAATAGAAAGTAGAAAAGATGGCTGCATCAGGTTTAAAACATTATCCACATCCTGGTTAAAAGATGTTGAGACCCAGCCTGCTTTTTTGTATTAATGAGCCAAATTAGGGAGGAAGCTTCTCTGGCACTTCATTAAAGAAAGAGTCTTCAGGTGTTGGGAGATCAAAGCAAAAAATCTGTTGAGTCTCCTAACTGAATAAAGTTTACTATGCCCATTATATTACACTTTCAGAAGGAAAAGAAGGGGAAAAACCAGTCAAACCACAGTCAAAGGAGGAAATCCTGCTAGCCCAAATCCACAACTTAGAAATTTAGCTTAAATCACTTTGCTTTAAGTTGAATGGATAATGCTAGTCAGCAATCGGTAGAATGTCTGTATTGATCATTAAAATATCCACAGTGTTTTCAGTGTTTTCTTTGCCATTTTACTACCTTGGAGAAAATGGTAACAATATGAATAGAGTTCTGTTATGTTGCTTAAAGAGTGAATGATTATTTCACTTCAGATTATCACTTGGATCTAGGGTTATTTTTAAAAAAATCAATAGTTTCTTAATATAAAGCCCATGCTGATTAGAACTTGGAGAGGGAACAACAGCAACAGCAATAGCACTGAGACTTATATACCGCTGCTCCGTAGTGCTTTACAGCATTCTCTGAGCAGTTTGTAGTGTCAGCATATTACCCCAACAATCTGGGTTCTCATTTTACAAACCTCAAAAGGATGGAAGGCTGAGTCAATCTCCAGCCCCATCAGGATGGAGCTCCAGGCTGTGGGCACAGTTAACTTGCAGTACTGCATTCTAACCCACCAGGGCTCAATGGCTCAATATCATACTGTTTACAATGGCATTTTAAAATATTATCTAAATAAGAGAAAATATGTGTAAGCCAATTATAAAAATACTGACATGACCGATGATTGCATGAGTAGACAATTTCAAACATTTTGAAACAAGATGTGTGATCTAGGTAGGTATTACATTCATTAATAACTTGTTTCATACTACCTTCTGATACCCCAATATCTAGCTTTTTTATATATTCTAGTTGAAATAATTTAAGGAGGCAAGTGGCTTTTATTAATTTTGGTATTGGTTTTCCTAAGATATTTCTTTATTAGTATTCTGTTAGCTGGGAGTTTAAAAAAAATTAATAAGAGGCAGCAGTTAATTTGTTGGTTCACTGCATGAACTACTTCTGGATACTATTAAGCATCTATCTATCTATCTATCTATCTATCTATCTATCTATCTATCTATCTATCTATCTATCTATCTATCTATCTATCTATCTATCTAATATAGTTCACCACTGAGAATATATATGTCATCTAAAAAGGATTGTGTGATTCTTAGTCACAATAAAGGTGATTTAGAGCCAGTTTTGTGTAGTGGTTAACATGCTAGCCTAGAATTAGGAGACTGTAAATTCTAGTCCAGATTTAGGCATGAAAGATAGCTGGGCCAATCTCTCCCTGTCCACACAAATCCACCTCACAGAGTTGTTGTTAGGGGAGGGAAAGGAGGAAGAAGGAGTATTATGAATTCTTGAGTGACTCATAAAGTAATAAAGGCAGGACAAAAATCTAATAAATAAATTAAATGCTGCAGCTGATAGGACGATGGTGGCGACGCTTCCCTCTCCGAATCCAAGGCGAATGGTCTTCAGAACGGTTCGGCTCTAGGTCGTTGCTCGGGACGAGGCAGCCCCACCCCCTGGATTAAGTGATTGGCTACCTTCCCTCCCTCTTTCTCTCCCTTCGACTTGCTGACATCTTCCCCAAAGAAGGGGAATCGGGAAGCGCTAGGACCACGTAGGCTCGGAGAGACCGCTGGAATCTCTTCTGTGCAGAGCGGTTGTTGCTGCTGCTGCCGCCGCCGCCGCCGCCGCTGCCATTTCTCCTCGCGTTCCCCGCTTAGAGAGAAAGGAGGGGAGCTGGAGGTTACCGAGGCTGACTGAACTCAAGCGCTTAGGCTGCCAAGACTCCCACTGCCTGCTGCTGCTTCTGCTGCTGCTGCTGCTGCTGTTCCTGCTCTGGGCAAGCGAGGAAAGCAGACCAAGGAGGGCGGGAGGCTGGGGGGAAGAGAGAGAGAGATAGGCAGAGGGGAAATCAAGCTTGGAGGAGAGAGGGAAGCCCCGAGAAAGAAGGAAAGGATCCGCTCTTCTCCTTCCAGAGTCTCCATGGCGCAAGGAAAGCGATTGAAGCCGAGGAAAGTGTGAGGCAGTGGGGGAAGAGACCGACTCATAACTTTCCGACGCCTCGAAGCCGTTTGTTTGGGCAGCTGGGAGGAAGAATTTGCCTCCTTCCATGCCCCGGTCACTTCAACGCCTCGGGAGATTCAATGCGCTATTCCGGACTCTTTCTGGCTTCCTTCTTGGGGTAACTTTTGGGAAGTCTTGCAGCCACCACCGCCACAGCTGATAGAAGTGCCCGGGGAAGAGCGGAGAGCCTTGGAAGAAGTACAGAAGGAGAAAGTTTCGGGTGAAAATCCGGCGGAGATTTTCTGCCCCCCCCCCCAATCCTTCCACCACCACCTCCTCCTACCCAGCTGCTTGTTTGTGTGGGGGGGAAACTAAAGCGCCGAGAAGATGATCCGCTGCTGCGGAGGTGTCCGAAGCGGAGGAGACTTTCTGTGCCTGCTCCTTCTCTTGATGGGTTTCTTATTGCCCGCCTGCAGGACTCGCTTGTACACCAACCACTGGGCGGTGAGGATAAGTGGCGGGCTCCCAGAAGCCAACCGGATAGCGAGCAAGTACGGCTACATCAATATAGGACAGGTAACCTCCTCCGGCGGAAGGCCACCCGCTCTCGTCCCCAGCTTCGCCCTGCAGCCGGCGCGGCTGACGGACGGGAGGGCGGGCGGGCGGGCAAAAGCTGCAAAGTGCTGGTGCTGCGGCAGGCGCGGGAAAGGGAGGCGGTGGGCGCCCTTCTCGCCTCCTTCCCTGTCATCTCCTGCAAGGCAGGCGCGGAGCTTAGGGAAGCAGGCAGCGCGAAGAGCAGGTAGTAGGCTGACCAGGTCACGTCCGTTCCCCCACCCACCCAGCCCCGATTCCTTGCTGTCGGGCCGAGAGCTTGGTGGCGAAGTCGGACGGCTAGGAATTGGGAAGAGGGGGAGCAAACAAAAAACAAAAAACAGCTGGTTGCAAAAGCTCCGACGAGAGAGAGACCGCGGTTGGACGCCGAGGCAAGCGCACGTCCTGGGGCGATGACATAGTTTCGAGGCTTCCGAGCCCGCCAGGGGAGAGAAGGGGGGGGGGAATTGCTCGGCCGACGCGGGAGGAGGTTTCAAGCAGCCGAGCAAGAACCTGTTGGGGGTCGCTGACGAGCCCTGAGACTGGGGGAGGGGAGGGCATATTTAAGCAAGCGGGGGCTTGCAGGAGAGAGAAAGGAAAAGCTTTCCAAACTTCCCCGGGTTTAAGGAAGCCGAAAAGGGCAAAAACTTGCTATTTTGGGTGCTTGTTTCTTTAAGCAAGCCAACTACCTGACGCTGTTGACTTGGAGGCCCTCTGACTGTGGTGGACCCCCTTTTGTGCATGTTCAGAAGCGCTCATTACTTCCTAATTGCTAGGTTTGGAATGGTAGTCCCTTGAGCTAAGTCTCCATTTGAGGATTCCTAGAGTTTCCACTCCCCCTTTTTTTGCTTCATTAAATCTGTGTTGTGGACTTTTTCCTTAATTTTTGCTTCGTGCCAACTTTATCAAGGAAGCATTAGGGTTTGCAGATACTTTGTGGGCTGGAGATGTATAAGTGGGAGACATGGCATACTTTGTGGGGTTTCCTTCATTGCAAAAGATGACCGGATGGATTTCCTTGTTGTGTTTGGAAACCCTGGCCCCACTGCTAGAATTTACTGTACTGCACTTATTCTGGTATTTGTTCTCCCCCCATTATAACTGTGGCATAGTCCTCAAGAAGACAAGAGATTTGAGAAACGATCATAATTTAATAGCAAGATAAAGCTTTACTGTCTGCCCCAAATATCCCCCAATCTCAAGTCCTCATCATGCATTGGAATAAAATACCCATCATCCCCAGCGATGTTGACTTGGCTCCTTTCTATGACTTGAACTCTTCCCTTACTCTTTCCACAGTGAACTTTGAGCTCAGTAAATGGAAACCAAGTTTTCAACAAGCAGATGGTGTGTGTCCCTCCTTGTCCTGTGCAAGGGCCAAGATTTTGCCTGAGTCTTTGCCAGAGTAACAGAAAGGGAGGAGACAGGGATTAATTTGTAACATAGCTCATCAGGGCCAAGACAGAGCTTTTTACTGCTGAAGTTGGCTCTTTCTGAAAGAAAGACAACCTTGAATTTAAGAGGACAACCTTAAAAGAGATTAATGCTTTCATATACTTTTCATTTTAAGACTGATATATGGGAGCGGCAAAATTAAGGAACTAAACTTCATTTCAGGTAAAGAGAGAACAAGAAATAGGAAGAAAAGCATGTGAAGGCTGATTCAGGTTTTTTTTTCCCCCCTGGAGGAGACATGGGAACCCTAACATTGGCTCTTCTAAAAGTGCATTTCTAAAAGGCAACTGGGTTTTCTTGTTTTTTTTTCTTTGAAAATGTTTCACTTCTCATCCAAGAAGCTTCTTCAGTTCAATTTGCTTCTTGGATGAGAAGCGAAATGTTTTCAAAGAAAAAAACCAAGCAAGTCCAATTGCCTTTGAAAAAGCACCTTTGGGACAACCCTATCCTGGATGATTGAGAATTTCTATAAACACCTAACATTACTGGAGTTGATGCAGAACCTTTGGGCAGCTGACAGATTTAATCCATCATTCTTTCCTTTCATAAATTGCAAAATAGGAACTTATGTGAAAGAAAGGCAAGCAGATGAAAAAGAAAAGTTGCAAAGTTCATGAGAACAAAAGTATTTTGGGCTGGATCAAATATAACTCCTGATTAGTCCAATATATTGTGTCCTGCAGTGGCCAATTAGAAACATCCAAGAAATCATCAAACATAGGATCAGTACCACAGACCTCCAATGTTTAGAAACACTTTTTTAAAAAAAAAATCTTGGAGACAATATTCATAATAACAAAATGGTTATTGATAGCTTTTTAGTTACCTATTTTTGTTACAAAATACTTTCTCATGCCAATTGTTAATGTTAACTTATTAACCTCATGAACACAAGTTCAGCGAATTGGGGAAATACATTCTGTTAAAGAGCATATTGAAATCATAAGAAGTTATTGAGGTGAAAGGAAAGTAATGGAAAAGAAAATGTTCTGAGCAATATTTATTAGTGAATGTACAGACATATCTTAAAGTGTTTTGGAAAAAGCACTTAGTGATATTGTACTGTTTTAATTCTATATAAAGGAGTGGATTAAGTCTGTCTAATGCAGGTGTATTTGGGAGATTTAAATTTGGCTTTAGTTCAGATGAGTTAAATAAGTTGACATTGATCTGGTCTGAGTCATATTAGCTAGTTTAGAAACACCTGAATTTGTAGAATCTACAGATGTTAACAAACACCTGGATTTGCTAGACCCCAAACTATTAAATAAAAAAATTATTAAACATTCCATGTACACATGTGTCTTGAATTAGTTGCTCAAGCAATTCAATGAATTTAATGAGAGATTAAACATATATTAAATTATATAAACTATATATAACAGCATTACATATTTTATAACATTTCTAATATTAATAAATATTTCTAGAGCATATTGTTTCAGACATCTGGACTGCCTGTTGTTTTGTTTTATTGTGATTTGTGCATAAACGTCATCACTATCTTTTCTAAAGATAACATAATTTGCAACAGTTAAGAATTTTTAAAATTAGAAATAATGGTCATGTAAAAAGATTCAGTTATATAGTAAATAAAATGGATTCAAGTCCCACAAACATAAAATATTGTGCGGTGGATAGAAGATTATAGAATGTTTCCACAGCCTATTAACCAAATATATGGGTTCTTTGAATTCCACAGAATAGCAAATACCCCAAGGATATATTTTGACTCATTTACTTTAAGGACAAAATGAGAGGCCAGAAAGAGAGCAGTTACATTGTTAGGATTTCTCTTTCATAGATAACAAGTTCTTCTTAATAATCATTTTTCTTTAGAACTCTACTCAGAAATTCCATATAAATTAGCATTATGTCACTTTAGTGCATGAAATGCTGTGACTTTTTAAATAACTAATTGGATACATTGGTATAGGGCAATCATTTACAACAAAACCTTAGCCATTTTTCTCGTCATGGTTATTTACTTTTGGCAAATTAAGGTTACCTTATAAATTGAAATTTTTCATACTGTTAAACAAAGCATATCCTGGAAAAAATAGCATTGTAATAATTTGTTATTTTTATTCTATGGAACCAAGAGAGCACAAACAACCCATAACAAATGGAAGTCTGCCATCTTTTTATATTTTGAAAGCTTTCTTTCCATAACCTGTGTTACATTCTTCTGATATTAAAGTTTTCCTTTTTTAAGTTTCTAAGCCAACAAGCAAGAAATTGGAATAATACTATATTTCCTATAATTGTTATACCTACATTCAATTCCTTTCAAGAAAAAAATTACTGTATACACACACACGCACACACACACACACACAAAAGAGACAGATACAAACAGGCAGACAGTTTCCATTAGACTGAATGTTATATCCTATATATGTTTTCTGGTACATATATGTGTACAGTTAGAGAAGTGTGGAAGTTTTTACATAAAACGAATGACAATATTATGATTTATTTTAGATAGACTTCAAAAACTGAATGTTTAGAGATTCCAAAAGTAATCCTCCAAAATGGACTTTTAGGGGCTACAGGCAGTGGTGAGATTCGACCAGTTCACACCACTTCGGCAGAACCGGTAGCTAATTTTTTGTTGCCCAGGCTCAGAATGGACTTCCGGAAGCCCACAACACAGGAGAACCGGTTGTTCACATATTTGAATCCCACCACTGTCTACAGGTGGTCCTAGATTTACAATCACAAACGGGACCAGAACTTCTGTTGCTAAGCCAGGCAGTGGTTTAATGAGTGGTGCCTGATTTTACAACCTTTTTTTTTTTGCCATGGTTAAGAAAATAATTGCAGTTAAATGAATCACATAGTCATTAAGCAAATTCAGCTTCCACTAGTGACTTTGCTTGTCAAAGCCAGCTAGGAAGATCACAAATGGTAATCATGTGAACCCAGGATGCTGCAACTGTTATAAATACATGCCGGTTGCCAAGCGCCCAAATTTTCGTAAGTATAAGGACTGATGGCAAATCACGTTTTTCAGTGTCATTGTAACTTTGAACTGTCACAAACAAATAGTTGTAAGTTGAGGACTGCCTCTAGAGTGATAAATGTCAGCTATGAACTTGAATAGTCCTTTTTTCTGACTTGACGGAAAATTTTCCTTCTATTTTTAAATGGATAAGAATGCCCTATAATGATCAAATGCAAATGGATTAGCTTTAAAAATGATCTTATTACCTTTAGGTTTTTTCCAAACATCTTCCTGGTTTATCTCTTTAACCATAATATTATGAATGTAATATGGAACTCTAGTAATTTTAAAAGTGGTGGAAACTTCCTATGTTCTCCTGTGGCCAAGACAGAAAATGAGAGGAGAAAGTAAAACTGAAGAGTCTAATACTCATTCATTTAATACTAAACTATGATTTAACACTGCATACCAATTGGCCAGCATTATCTGAAATAACAAAAAGATGCATCTTCATGTGCTGAGCTTGATACTTGTTCACTGAATGCAAAAGTAACAATAGCTAGGAAAGGATCTTGCATTTTTA